TCTAGGTCTCAGGATGTGTTTCTGGGCATGAGATTTTGCTTCCTGCAACTTGGACTATTGTAGAAACACAGAAGAAGCCCTGAAGCTTGATGCCTGTTCAGTCAGACCTTCCTTCTGCTTGTTCTTGGATTCTTGGGCATCTGCTAGATTCTCAAGGCAAGCAAAGCACTTTAATGACAGGCCAGTGCCCCAGGTACACACCCCAAGTGCAAGTCCCTCAGGAGGGACTAGCTGGCAGCAACTTCCTTCTGCTATACAAGGAGAGAGAATTTGGAAAGGAAAAAAGAATTTTGTCTCTGGAAGTATGGAAAAGACTTAGCACTCTGTTTTTATAGTGCTTTCCCTCTGTACAAACTTAGTTGTTTAAAAAGTAATTATTTTAACAGTTGGGGCCAGTGGAACCAAAGCAATTCGCCCAAGGCCACAGGTCAGGGCTACAGTGGTCACAAAACCCAGACACTGAATCTCAACTTTTTGTTTTATGCTGACTTTTAATTCAAAACAAATATTTCTCACTTTTCTCTACAAGGGTACCATATTCTGGCATGGAAAACAGAAATATGGTGTCATGAGACCTTCAGTTGCATATGTTTTAAAAGGTGAAACAACTTTTCCCCTGACCCAGAAAGAACCCTTCTAAAACTCAGAAATCTGGGTGAAGGTTAATGTGCAAAATGTTCACTGTACTCACCGTAAACCAGCAAAAAATTGGAAACAAACAGCTGAGTATAAGAGAATGGTTTTTCAAATGGAACATTATGCAGCTATTACAGTGAGATTTTCAACAACTATTTAATGACATAGAAAAGTATTTAATGACACCAAGGAAAACATTACAAACTACATTCTGTATTTTTTATAATGAGCATGTGTCACTACCTGTGGAGAAAGTGAATTTTCCTATGCCCAGGATTCTCACCTGGCCCTGGTTGGCTCGCTCACTACACATGTGCGGGCAATACGTCGGTATTGACTCTATATAAAGAGCTCTGCCCAGCTCTCTGCATGACACGGTGGCATGGCTGAAAGGCTGCAGGAGAGCCGAGATGAGACGAATGGTGGCAGCACCGAGGAGAGAGACAGAGACTGCTATGCGGGTAGAGTGGCCCAGAGGCAGAGACCGGCTTACTGCATGCAGACTCGCTCTGAGTGGATGGGATTCCAGTGACTGACCTGCCACCATAGGAATAAAGTTGGGTATAACTCTTTCACCCCAAGAACATTCTACTGTCATTTCTTTGGTCACATTGAATCCATAGTGAACTTGTCTGGGGCTGAAACCCATTGGCAAGACAATTGGCGGTAGTGGTCAGGGATTCATTGTTGACCAAGGAAAAGAACAGGCTGCCCTCATGGGAGGGGTGCTTCAGTAGGCTGCAACTGTGGATGGGGAGACATTAGAGTGTCCCCAGTGTACATGTGGTACTGGGAAGGGGTGGAGGACTGGGCTCCACCCCAAGAGAAAGAAAATTTGTTGCTCACTGAACTGGCATCACTATGAAGTGCTGTGGCCCTAGAGGAAGCAGCATGAGAAGGAGCCGTGGCTCGAGAAGGAGCGGCATGAGTAGCAGCAGTCTGGGAGCACAGGCTGGCAGGTGCCATGGGGCAAGAGAGGGATGTAGTGGAGCCGTCAGCCCCAGAAATGGAGGAGCAGAGGTTTGACAAGCCGGTGGGGGTGGAGGCCCTGCCGCTGCCAGAGGCATTGGCCCCTCGTCAGTTGAGACCCCACCTGAGTGAAAGCTGGTGGAAAGCCAGGATTCGGCAACCGCGGGTTCTTCCAGGAGAGGTGCCGTCCCTTCCTCAGGCTGTGGAGCGCTCCGTGCTCTGCTTCTAACCTCAGGCTCAAGCGCAAAAGGAAATACGGTCTGCTTCTCGAAGGAAGAATTTAGAGGGCCTCATGAAGTTGGCGAGGACCCAGATGTGGGTTGGTTTGAAAAGACAGGAGCAGACAGAGAAAAGTGGATGGCTGGAGCTGTGGCAGCAACTGAGACCAGAGCAGCATTCCAGCCGCTGAGGACGAAGCAGAGACAGAGATAAAGCAAGATTTTCTGCTGGAGAGGCTGGAGAAGGTGGGTATTGTAAGGCCCACCCATGGTTCTTTTACAATGTTCCAGCTTCCTTGCACCGGGACCATTGCAGAGGATTGAAGGCACAAAGACTGAGAGGTAAGAATCCTGGAGGAGTGGAGTGTGGAGAAAGTGAAAGTTCCTATGCCCAGGATTCTCACCTGGCCCTGGTCGGCTAGCTCACTACACATGTGTGGGCAATATGTCGTTATTGATTCTATATGAAGAGCTCCACCCAGTGCTCTGGGCAACATGGTGGCATGGCTGCAAGGTTGCAGGAGAGCAGAGACCAGACTGGAGTGGTGGCAGCACCGAGGACGGAGACTGAGAGGCTGTGCAGACAGAGGGGCCCAGAGGCAGAGACCGGCTTGCTGCATGCAGACTGGCTCTGAGTGGACGGGACCTAGTGATTGACCTGTGACCATGGGAATAAAGTTGGGTATACACCCTTTCACCCCAAGAACATTCTACTGTCATTTCTTTGGTCACACTGACTCCATAGTGAACTTGTCTGGGGCTGAAACCCATTGGCAAGACACTACCATAATCAGAAAAAAGGGATGTCACATACCTCTGTGCCCCACAAAGGAGAGACCCGTCCCTCTAGTTTCCGACACCACTCAGCTTCTGACATGAAGGAAGGACAGTTGCTTCAAGTTGATGAGTTGCACCAGGCTCCCAAGTTGGACCAAGGACTTCCCAGTTTCCTTCCCAGAATTAGCTTCAGTGTTGACTCCACCATCCAGGGACATTTTCTTCAGCTTTGCAGGATGGTATCTTCTGGGCAAAGGGTAGTAGAAAGATTTTCCATGAACATTTTGTTACAGTGAAAGGACCTGGGAAATCTTTGCATTTTTCATGCGTTTATTTATCTCAGAGTGAATTCTGCATCAATGTTCTCTTTTAGTTCTTTTCTCTGAATTTATTTTGAAAACTGCACATGGATGCTTTACAGCAGACCAGAGCCACTTGCTAACTCCAGGACATGGGCTGGCAGCCCCTATTTAGAGCTTCACATGTAGCTTAGCTTTCCATTTAAACCGTAAGAACAGGAAAATGACTTTGGCAGCTTTCCAGACAGGTCTACGGCATTCCCTGTTAAAGGGAGTTCACGGCAGTTCCGGCAACCAGCAGGAAGCTCCTGGGCTGGAACTGATCAGGCTTTGAACAAGAAAGAGTATTGAGGAAAATGGACCCTGGGGCTGCAGGTACTGTGACCATATGACTTGAAACTGTTTATCCTTAGGAGTTGGTGCCCTGCTACAGAAGAAAAGAGCAAATAAAACACATAAAAAGTGGCTTGATGACTGAGTGATTTTTTTTTTTTTAGTCTTTGGAGAATGCTGTGTTAGGAGGCTCTGAGCACAGAGGAAGACAAAGGATCTGGAGGGCAGCAGAGGGAGGGCCAGGTTCTGTGGGAACTGCTCACCCACCTGGCACTGGCCTCTTCGTCCCCCTTCTCCTCCAGGCCTGTGGGTCGTGCCCATTTTGAAGAGGTCGTTAACTCAGCATTCAAGGTCACTGCAGCTGCTTAGCCTGGTCCAGGTTTCCGACGAATCATCCTGACTCGACACTGGGGGGAGCCCCATCCTCACGTTGTAAGCTACACCTGGCCTTGGAATCAATGTCTTTCTAGAGCTTTCCCTATTTAAAGCTGGGTGTTGGAGCTCACACAAGCAAGAATCAGGGTATTGTGAGACTGACAAATTAAACGGTCCCTGAGAGATGCTCTGATGAAGGCTGCTCGTGCCTTGGGGCCCAGACAGGCACACTTCCTTGTTCTCATCACAGAGCCTCGGATGTTCTTTAAACCTCACACTGCCCCACTCGGCCCTCACTCTACGCAACCCAGAGTTTGGTCATCTCAACCAGGTTTTGGCATTTGCCTCTCCAGGCTCTGGACTGGAGCAGATGTAACACTTCTTTATCAAAGTCCTTCTTTCCAGGTTTGGGCCAGTGCAGGGAGAAGTTATGCTATTTTGTGGGTGCCCTGTTCTGGGAGATGGTGATGACAGAAGGAAAGAACAAATGATACAGACTGAACATTCTTACATTTGTTGATGAGATAAAAATATTGACTGTAAATTGAGAAGAACAGTGAACACAGGTAAACAGGATGGTTGGTGTCCTTTCTGAGGTAATGAAGACCTCTGTACCTCCTGTGTGCTTGCTACTATTTGGTGGCCTTGTTTGGGTCCTGGGACCTGGGGGGGCCTCTTTCCCTGGGCTCTGTGCTGATTTGTTGTTTGTGCAGAGGAGCCCCAGATTCTGCAGTCCGTGGCCAGCCGCACCCTTACCAGCTGCATGGCTTGGATGAATCCTTAACCTCTGGGCCTGTTTCCTAACTGGAGAATGGAGTTTGGAACCATACGGATCATGTGAGTTAATGCCTGTAGAGCATGTAGCATAGTGCTGGTGCCATTAACTTGATGTTACTCTTGTCAACATGGTGCCTCTACATCTACCATTTCATTAAGGGATTTCCACTCCTACTTCCATCACCTGAGCCGTGGCTCAGATTGTAAAACAGAGCTCCATCATATCTCTGAAAGCTGGGAGCCAGCTATTGCCAAAACCAGCCCCATTTCAGAGGACCTTGCCTGTAGGGGGAGTGGCCACAGCTGCGGAATCAGAAATGTGTCTTCTCAGGAGGGGCTCACAAGGGCAGATGGGGGAGTGGTTTTAGAACAATCCGCTCTCTGGGTATACTGGTAAACAAGGAAAACTGAACACTGTTTACTTAAAAAATAAAAAAAGGAGTGTGTATATTTGGTGCAAATAAAAATGTATGAACAGTAGAGACTTTGTAGAAACTTGGTATGCAAAAAGAAAATTATATAGTGAAAAAAAGGAAATATGTTTTTTTTCTTTTCACAATTATTTAGCTGTAATAAAAGTGAAAGTAAAAGTCAGGGCGAGGAAGCTGTACAGACACGGGGGGCAGCACTCCCAGAACGTGGGGCGCTTGGGTCTTGAAATGCCCAGGAAAGAGATATGACTTTCTGGATCCCACAGTGGGACGCACTGCCCAAGCAAGTGCTGGTAAAACTTGGTGGCAGGGTAATCATTTTGTTGTTTTTAACAGTGAAGGAGCTCCCAGAGAGGAATGCTTGCTTTGAGGTTCCTGGTAAGTCAGGCTGTTTGTGTCCAGTGCAAGGAAGATGCAGGACAACAGTGAGCAGGTGGCAGGCGGCCCCGTGGAGCAGAGAGATTGGGAACTGCAAAGATGAGGTGATTTGAGAACAAAGGCGGCTTTTCCTACTTCCAAGTTCAAAGGCAGCCATTCTGTAGCAAATGAGTTAGTGTGACCTTGCAGGTGGCCTTCGTGACCCATAAGTGTGGAATACTGAGGCTTGGCATTTTGCTAACTGAGTACCTCCTGGGGGGAGATAGGGCTGGTGACATATTTCTGTGGGTTTTGGTTCAATGCATAGAATTGCAACACTGGCTAAAAGCACTATTTATTTTGAGTTTTTAGGCAATGAGAGACTGATTGGTGTGGTGGTCTTTGGAGACTAAGGCAAAATCTGGAGGAAACAGAAAAACAGAGTAGTTCACAGCATCTCTACTGCATGGCTTGAAATGGGATAGAGGACCATCCCCTAATTCATTCATTCTTACATTCAGATATTAATTCACTTAACAAACATTTGCTGCATGTTAGACATCAAAGCAGATGCTGCCAGGAATGAAGGCAACCAAGGCTGACCAGCTTTCAAGGAGCTGTTGTCAATTCCCTTTGAATCAGTTTTTAACTTTAAAATCACCTTTCCTTTGATCTATATTTTCGAGAAGAAATTAGTCTGGTGTTCATCTAAAAATCAAACAAACTAAACTGCACATAATTTCATAAACTCTGAGATTTCTTTAATCTTTGAATCTTTAAATTTGTAGGAGTTTCTTCTACATCCCAGCCCCAAAGAAACAGCAAGCTCCCCGCCCCTGTCATATCTTGGCAGCTAATTGAAGCAACGAAGAGGAAAGAAATGATACAAATAAATCATTCCAGTTGACAGAGCGTCACTGTTCTCAAAGTGGCTGTTCATCAGAAATGAAGTGAGTACTAGCTTGGTGGTCAGTTTGGTTCACTTGTGGCCTGACGATACGACCAGTGAGTGTTCTGTCCTCTCATGACCAGGGACAGTTCTGTGCACTCTGGAATCAACGGGGTTTACATAATCCAGGTTTGTTGATATTCTTGACGCATGGAAATTTTCCTTATTTGTGTTCCAATTTCAAGGGGTCCTGAGAACATTCCAGAAGTAGTCTTTCATGGGTAGTAGCCATTGATCCTGGCTACTAATTGAAATCAGTTGTGGAAATTAAAAAACTATAGATAGCCTGTGAAGACATGTGAATTAGCATTGACATGTACACCTTATTTTAAATTAATTATTGAACTTGAATGTTCAATGATTGGACAAGAATGAGACACCTCATAGTACCACTATGATGGTATACTATGCTGCCATCTAAATTATGGTGAGGAAGAATTTGCTGAGCTGAGAAAATATTTATAATGCATTGCTAAGTTAAAAAAAAGTGGGCTCAAAAGAGTATTCAGTATAATATGGTGATATTTTTGTTAAGTCACCTGTTTATACATATCATACAGAAGACCAAAAGGACCTGTACAAACACCTTGGTGGTGGTAACCTCTGAGGGATGGTTTTGTATGTCTTTTCCTTGGTGTTTTTCTGGGTTATCTAAGTTTTAAGCATCAATCACATATTGCTTTTATACTGAGGAAAAATTATCTCAGTGAATGTTAGGATAACATTATGAGGAGGAGCAAAGAAACTAGATACATGTAGTTGCTTCATCCATCCATCCATCCATCCATCCATCCATCCATCCATCCATCCATCCATCCATCCATCCATCCTTCCTTCCATCCATTCATCCATCCACCCATCCATCCATCGAATTGTCCATGCATCCATCCAATCATCCATTCCATCTCCTCATCCATCCATCCAATCTTCCATTCATCCACCCATGATTTTTATTTAGCCTTAAAAATTTTTTTCAATAGTTTGATTTCATCTTTCTTTCTATTTATTAAGAAAAGCATGTCTTAAGCATCCAGTGTGTGTGTGGCACCTATAGTTTCAGCACTTGGCTGCAGAGGCTGGGCTTTCTCAAGTCCAGTGCAGAGTGGTTCTTACACTCCAGCATGCCAAAGAGGCTGTAAGAGCACCTTCAAATGCAGAGTCCCTTCCTAGGGCATGGGTCAAGTAGTTCTAGGTGGGGCCTGGACATTTCCTATTTTAAACAAGCACCCCACCCAGTTCTGACACAGACTCTCTGGTATTACCCTTTGAGAACCTGTCAGGAATGGGCACTTGGGCTTAAGAAGTTTACAGTCTAAAGCTAATGAAAAATAGCAGGATGAGAAAACCTGGTTTGGTTCCATCATGGAATCTTAACTGAGCTCCCCCAGCATGCCCTTAGCTGCACTGTCTTCTTTCAGAATGTGACATAACTAGGTGGGATGATAATCAAAATATACCTGACCAGGTTGTCAGCCTCCCTGAAAGTCATTAGATGTGACCTTCCTTCCTTAAGGATGGTCGGAGAGCAACAGTGGCCACCACTCACGGAGTGGTTAGTGCTGCCTGGCACTCGTCTGAGAACTTGGTATTCATTCACTCATTTAACCCTCTTAAAACTCACAGGTTACCAACAGACAAAATCATCCCCATCTTACAGATGAGGTAACTGAGGTTTAGAGAGATTGATTCACATACCCAAGATTACATGGCCAGTCAGTGGGCTTGCCCCCAAGGGACTTTGAGCTCAACTACCATATTGTAGTATTTAGCACTATAGCCCCAAACTTTACCAGGGGCCACTGTGCAGCCCTTAGACATGAAGCTGCCTTCAGGGCTCAAGAATATCGACCACCCAGGCAGCTTGCTGCTCAGCAGTCCTGGCTGAATGCTTTCTGGTGTAAAATTATTATTCAACTTCAACCTTCTAAAACTGTGCCCTTCATGGTCCCAGCTGGTACAAAGTTAAGAACACTTGATAAAATGCATAAAACACAGCCAGCAGCGTATTTCCAAATCACATTGTAAGCCAGGCAGTGTTCTCTTGAAACACGCATCCTTGGGGGCAGAGCAGTTAACAAAACTTCCACCAAAGTCTGCAGACGACATCCACTGCACCAGGGAAAGCTGGGGAGGCCTGGCGCCTGCATTTGGGCCCTCTGTAGGAACAGCAGACAGAGGGCTTCAGCGAATGTAGGGACGTTTACTAAAGTTTTTGCTTAGGAGCAAAACTCATGTTTAGAAGAAAACCTATCTTCTACCCTATTCCTAGGCATGTTTGTTTTCAGTCTTTCTGATAATACTATGATGTACCATTATTATTATTTCCTTTTTTTATTGTATTGAGAGATAGTTCACATACCATAAAATTTGGGTACCCTTTTTAAGTATACATTTCAATGGTTTTTATTATATTCATAAGGTTGTGCGACTATCACCACTATCTAATTCCAGAACAGTTTCATCAGGCCAAACAGAAACTCCAAACCTATTAGCATTCATTCCCATTCTTTCCGCCTCCAGCCTCTGGCAAATTACAATGATTTTTAATGGTTATATCTTTTCTTTTCAATTAGACTATAAGAGAGACTGTGAAACTCATTCCTTTTCCTGGCACAAAGTAGGTGCTTAGTAAATGTTTTTTCTTGGTGTTAAAGCTCTCAACCTCAAGACTCTCTACTTTCTTTCTGGTCTGTATGGTAATTTTGAAATTAAATGACCAGAGGAAACATACAACTGAGTTTTTGCCCATCTTCCCTCTCTTTTAGGAAAGTCTGAACTCAGGAATCTCTTGTCAATTGGATAAATGTTTTATTGACCTTATTTTTAATTCAGTTTGATTTTGGAAAAGACAAAGACATCTTGTCTTATACTGACTGTAACACAAACATTGATAGTTCAGTGATATTTCGTGTTTTTCTAGCTCATAAAAAATACAGTGAGGAAATTAACAGCTTGGACTGTGGGAAAAAGAACTAATACTGAAACTCAGATATGCATGGCTCTGAATTGGTTGTTTACAGAGTGAAAAGCAGGTCACACATCGGCTGAGGCTCGGCTTCTGTCATGCCTGGGAATCTACAAACTCAATTCTGTCTCATTGGCAGAACATGAAAGCTAAAGCTTATCCTCTAATCCTGTGGCATTTTTAAATCCACAGAATGGGCTTTGCTGCTCAAAAATTTTCACTTAAAGTAACATGCTCTTTGGAGATACAAATATTTTGTTTACTCCCACAGTATCTATGGAAAACCTTGTCAGAATGAATGTCTATGATGGCTGCTGCAGATGAAGACAGTTTTGTCTCCCTCTATCCCGAATTTCCACTTCTTTCTAAATTCAAATATTGGAGGCCCATGTGATGGGCTTTCCTCAGGTAAATGAGACTGGAAGACTCAATGCATGCTGAAAAGTGGAAACAGCCCACATGTCCACATGGATGAACAGATCAACAAAATGTGGCCTATTTATGCAATGGAATATTATTCAGCCATGCAAAGGAAGGAAGTACAGACACCTGCTACCACACAGATAGACCTTGAAAACAGTGTAGTGAGTGAAAGAAGTCAGATACAAAAGGCCACAGGTTGTGTGATTCCATTTACATGAAATGTCCACAAAGAGACAAACCCACAGAGGTAGAAAATAGATTAGTGGCCATCAGGGACTGGGACAGGGGACATGGGGAGTAACTGCTAATGCATATGGGAATTGTTTTTGGGGTGACAAAAATATTCTGGAACTAAATAGTGGTGATGGTTGCACAACTTTGTGAATGTGCTGAGGACCACTCAATCTCATACTTTGAGGGACAATTTTATGTAAGTTACATCTCAGTAAAAAAAATAAGAAGAAAAGATTTGTGACAGTGCCTCCCAAGGGGTTAGAAATATGAGGAAGGGGAAAATGTGGCCTTATTCTGTCGGTGCTGTGCTGAAGATGACTTAGCAGTGCCCTCCAAGACGCATTTGATACACTGAAACCACTCCTGTCCTTGTCACGGCAACACATGGTTTCAGCCTTTATCATCATTGCCTAGATCATGGAACTAAAGAATTTTGACCAAAAAAAAAAGAATTTTGACAGCTGGAAAGGGTTTTAGAGAGTCTAGTCCAACTCCCTCACTTGTCAGGTGAGGGAATTAGTCCCAGAAAGTAGAAGTGACAGTTTTGAAGTTGCCTCCTTAGTGGCTGAGCTGCACCTAAAACCCAGCATTCTTTTCTCTTGACATTATTGCAATTATGTCCTCCCTCTTCTTAATCTCTCCCTGTTCAGATATGATTGTACATTCTCCAGACCTTAATCTTCCTGAAACACAGATCTCATGATGTCACTTCCCTGCTAAAAAACCTTCAGGGGCTGCGCATTGCCCTCCACTGGCCCCACAGCTCCCCAGATGGTCTGTCCTTGGTGGCCCAGTACGTGGTGTACTTTCCAATATCGCTCCTTGGTTCATATTTTGTTACTAAACTTTGTACATGTTTGTGCCTTCATTCCTCAGCCAAATTCTAAGTTTCTTGAAGACTGTGATCCTGTCTTGTGCATCTCTGACCTCCAGGCAGAGAGGGCACAGTGCAGATTTGTGAGCTTGGTAGGGCTCAGGGAATATTTGTAGATCCTTTGATTCTATTCAAGACTACAGCTAGTCTTTGCCTGGATAAATCCAAATGTTATCTTAGAGGGGTCCTGGCAACAGGTGGCTGTTTTGTGCCACATCTTTTCTGTTGGCAAAGACTGAGTTTAATTTTGGCATGTAATCTGGACAAAAAGATTCTAGAAACCTCTCATGAGATTAGATTTAGTTTCAAAAAGGCAAAACACATTGGTGTAAATAAAAAGAACCAGACATTATTTTTGAAATAACCTTTTCACTTCTTACAGAAGTAATTTGTGTTTATTGTGGGAGATTTAGACAATTCCATGAAAATTCCAGGAATATGATGAAGAAAATAAAAAGCACCCATAATCTGAGCCCCAAGGGAATGATCTCTTGGTATTGATTTGTATAGACATTTTTCTATGCTAGATACACACAGATACACTGTTTACAAAAACGAGATCCTACTGTGCATTGCTGTTCTGTAACCTGCTTTTAAAATGAAGTGAAAAGTGAAAATTTAATAGCTGCATTGAGTGGGAAGAATTTTATTGCTGTCAAGTCAAATGATTCATGCTGATGACATGGAGAAGGAGCAACTCAATATTTGTTTTGCTTCTTTGCTTTTCTAGGTGCAGGAAAGGGTAAAGAAGACAGAGTAGGAAGAGTTCCAGGAACTAAGGAACGAGTGCTTTTCTGGCTATGGACTCACTGGGGGGTGTGGAGGTGCTGCCTTACGCCTTTGGATCTAGGTCTTCTCCCCTGTTCTATGAAGAAGTTGTGTCCATTAAGGTCCTTTTCTAGCTCTAGACTTGCATGAACTGTTTTAAGTTTTTCCCTGTCCCTTCTTTGTACTTGGATATGACTGAGCCCTATATGTGCCCAGGAAGGCAGGGAATGTGACTGCTTTTGCCCTGGTTTATGCCAGCACAGTGCCTGGCAAAGAATTGACACTCAATAAATATTTGTTAATGAATGAATGGATGAGATGCTCATGAATGATGCCCTTTGTCATGGACATCATTAGATCACATGCTCTTCTTTTGGTAGCACCAAAAAGGAATTCTATATTTAGGTCTTGGAATTGGGATAATAATACAAGTAAGTCACCTGGTACATCAATTGCTTCACGGAAAGTATTTTCCTATCCTCAGGATCCCATTTGGTCTCTCTGTGGCCCCACTGGGGAGACATTACCAGCTCCATTCCACAGGTAAATGGCTGGCCAGGCTCCATGCTGGTCTCTTGATTCCAGGTCCCAGACCTCTTTAGCTACACCTCGTTGTCTTTCAGACATCCCATCTGCTCTCTGGTCAGGAAAGTCACTCCACAACCATTCAGGCAAACTTATAGCGGAAGTTCTCAAACTTCAGTTTTCTTAAGAATTGCCCAGGGCTTAGTGATCCACGTTGCACATAATTGCTCATGGTGATTTTGATGCAGGTGGTCTTAAATGCAGACTTTGAGGAACACCAAAAATTATTTCAGATTCAGTATTTTGTCAAGCAGAGGAGGCAGCCGTGGTAAGGCCATTAGGATCTTCATCCAAGCATCTGCTTGCCCAACCACACTTTGGTTTCCAAGGGGACTGGGGAATAACAACACAATAGTTCATGTTCTTTATGGGTTTACTGCACCAAGAGCTTTCTTAGTGCTTTACATATATTACCTTCTTTACTTCTCTCAAGAGCCCTGTGGGATAGGTCCTATTCCTGCCTCCATTGTAAAGAAAACTGAGGCTCAGATAAGTATATGTGGTTTATCTACAATCAGGTGAAGCTGACAATGGAGTTGAGTAATCAAGTCCAACTACTGCCAGGTTAAGGAAACCTATTATTTTTACAACAGCTGGGGGAAGTTGTGTGTCATTGGCTGATAGGGAGAGTAATTCATATTTTGGCTTACACATCCGTGTCCTTCCTCATGTGTGGATTGCTGCTGGCAATTGTGAAATAGGAAAACAAAACAGTGGAACAGGTGAAATTCACATCATGGCCCTGTCGTCCTCTGGGTAGGAACAGCCCTACAACCAGCTCTGCTTATACTGAATCTAATGTTACTGTTACCACAAAACTGAACTGTTCTATCTGGGAAATCTGAACAATGACTACTGACCAGATAGTTGATGATACTGAGGTATTATTATTTTTATTATTTTTAGGTATGATACTGATATTGTGGTTATGTTAAAAAAGAGTACTGATATTTTAGAGCTATACACTGAAATACACACAAATGAAATATTGAGAGGTTTTAGATTTGCTTCAAAATAATCCAATCTGGGGAGGGGTGGGTAGATGAAAATAGATTGGTTTAGGATGATAATTGTCAAAGCTGGCTGATGAACACACAGGAGTTTAGTATGTGATTGTCTTTAATTTTGCATGTTTGAACATTTTTATAATAAAGAGTAAAAAATAATTACCTGTCTCATGGCCCTTACACTCTGAAAGTGGCTCTAGTGAGTTAAACTAAAGTCCTCAGGGTTAATGATGGATTAATATGTGGTTGAGGCAAGAGATTGTTTACATTTTTAACAAGGATTTGCAATGTCTTAATCCAAAGAAGTAAATATTTTGGAAATTTCAGGCATTACCCCAGCCTGATAGGGGAAGTATTTCATATCGGCTCAAACTTTTTCCTTCCCCAGTTCACTTGTGTGTACAACTGGTCCTGATCCCTGACTTTGGGGACACTGGATAACCAGTACCTTTTCTTTTCTAATGCTTTATAATGACATGGTATTGTGTAACATTCAAAATGCTTTCAGTTGCAACTCCTTCACCTTTGTTACTTTTCTATGAGTAGACAGTGCATATTGTTAAGCAAGGGAAAAAATAGGGGTTCCAAGAGGTTAATTGGATTTAGTTATTGAACTGGTTACTAATTCTTTCATTTACCCACCTCTCCTACAAACAGGCAGCATGCATTGAGCATCTACTACATACTGGATCTGGTGCTGAGTTGATGTGGTACAGAGATGCATAAAATGGTGCCTGACTTGGAGACACTCACATTTCAGGAAGGAAAACAGTGTGCTATCTAAGTTAATAAATCTAAGAGGTTGAGGGCTTCCTGGAGGATGAGGCTTGTGCTGGGCCATGCAAAATAAGCAGAAGTTCATCACACACCCAAGTTAACGTCAGAATCAGAACCTGAACCCAGGGATCCTGCCATCTTTCTGGTCCAGCACAATTTCTGTGTTTAATTGCACTTCTCTTGTTTTCATCTGAAATCCCAGTTTTCTTTGTTTCTTATAACTCCTGCAGGATTTTCTTAAAGCCTTACAACGATACTCTAATGTACACTGCACAAATGAAGCCAACCTCGTTTTTGGGGATGCAGGGAGCGGAAGACTGCTGGGGGTCAGAACAATGACCAGGGCATCATTGTCCCTTCTAGAATACAGTCCAGAGCGTTCCCATTCTTCCATGGCACCAATGACTGCATCCTGTGCTCCTGCGGCTTTCCAGGCAGGGGGCGGTATGGAGAACCTCACTCATGTTTACCTGTTCACACAGCCATTACTCACCTCTTCCCACCCCCCCACACCCCCCACTTGCACAGAAAGCCACAGGGTGACTTAAAAAAAATTAAAAATTAAAAAATCAGAAAACCTTCCACCAACCCTATTCTAAAATGTCAAGTTGTTTCAGTTTTGAGCAAAAAGAAAGCTGAAGAAAGCATGACTCATAACAGGGCTGACAAACAACTATCTGGAGGTATGCTGGTGAGTCATGCTGTGATCTGCCTTTATGTTGCGAGAGGGCCTGGGATTGAAGGAGCATCATGGGACCAGCCAGTAAAATTCCACTACTCTCCAAAGCCAGTTTTAAGGTAATTTAAAAACCCTGGGCTTTTTCCAGCCCCAATCTAGTGTAGGGTGCTCGGTACCCTCAGATATGTTCATGTATACAGGAAACCAGGAAGAATGATTATAAATAACTGGAACAAAACCAGTATTATCTGTCCATGCCCAGTGCCATGCTGAACCAGTCGTGCTTGCTTCTGCGAACCAGCGAGACTGCTGGATTTTCTTGAAGGGTATTGGGTTGCTAAGCAACAGCGCTGGCAGCATCCATCACGCCCAGCAATGTCAGCGCCCGAGGTGGCCTGCAGAACACGTTTGCTCCTCTCCCTTGGGCCTCCCCTTGCACCACCCCCACCCCCTTGAAAACGTTAATTTGCATCTTGGGGAGACAGGAGCTGTGCCAGGTGATTCTGTGTATACAACACCACAGTGCAGCACATGAAACACAAATATTGTTTTTGGTTGCAAAGCCGAACATGTGACGTAGTTGAAAATACAGACTCATTTGTGTACACTCCTCATATAAGGAGTGTGGGCATAATTTAAAAACCTGCATGTCAAATATCCTGATGTGTTCTGCCTTTAATTCATTTTTTTTCTCCCTGCCCATAAGCATCTTACTTATACCCTGTTCTGTCCCTAGCTGTCTCCCTGCCTTTGTTCTGTGGTCTCCAGGGTGACGGAGTTATTGTTGGTGTGTAGGCTGGGTGGACAAAAGGGAGCCTATTTCTAGATGGAAGACAGCCTTATGGTTAACGATTGGACGCCGCTGTTTACAAGGCCTGTCACTGCGGCAGTTTTTCTCCGGAAGTGCCCATTTTCTGGGTGACGTCTCACCTGGGCACTGTCTCTCTGTGCCTCTCACTTCCTTTTGAGGGGCAGCAGGCTGAGTAGGCTGGTAGTGCGAGAGGCAGAGTGGTGGACTGCAAAGAGGATCAGTTTTGGGGCTAGATGGACCTAGATCTAAGTCCTTTCTCTTCCCAAGAGAAGCATCTCTGGCATCTTGACAAGTTATTCCTCCCTTTCCTGAAAAGGATGTTAATAAAAACCCCCTCATTAGGTGTTTGGGAGGGCTGAGTGGGATAAGGCATCAATACGCCAGGCCCACAGTGTTTACTGAATGGCAGATATCACAAGGATTGAGTGAATCACAGATGATGCCCAGTTGGAAGGACATTTAAAACATCATCTGATTCAGCCCCACAAAGATTTATAATTCCCCCAGGAATACCAGTGCATAAGCACGGCAGGTTCCAGCTGGATTGCCAAAGGTGATGCTGAGTTGATGCCTGATGTCAGGGTTGCGTTATAAGCTCTCAGTGGCCATCTATCAGGCTCAGTGGTCTTTTTTCTGGGCCCATTATGATATCTCTTGCCTTCCTTAAAGTTATCTTGGGGCCTTCCAGTGGACTGATGTCCCTCTTTATCTAACTGAAGAAGGCTGGCTGGCAGGAAACTGGTTGACTGCAGGATTTTGGTGGTGATCAAGGCCTGGACTTTGACTGGGGGCCTGGTAAAGCCGAAGGGTGTGCAGGAGCTCCAGAGGACAACTTTGCTGGGTTTTCCTATGGCAACTCTTATCGTGTTTTACACTACTTCTCTGAAGCCATCAAGCAAGAGCTCCAGCTCCACAGTTATTACCAAAAATGCAATTTTATACATTAGAAGAACACCCCACTCCCCCTAAGAATCCATACCATTCTTTCTTAGAGAACCTCTACTCCCCATCCCCCCACCCCCCCACCCCCGACCTTGGCCCCAGCAGGAATGCTGGGACCTTCCTGGTCTGGTCTTCTCAGTGAAGGTAGAGCTAAGCAGACAGCCTTCAACTCCGGCCCGAGGTCACCTTGTCCTGTGGTCCAGCTGGGCACGCTGCTCCTCTTCAGGAGTCTAGGAGGTGGAACCAGGGATCGAGTCTCTGTTTGCTCCTGGTCGGGATTGGGTGAGAAGACTGATGGGCAGAAGAAAACTTCGGAGACAGGACAGTGCCCCTGGCAGACCCTAGCTGTGAGAAGTGGGGCAGGATGCCCTGGGGGCCAAGGGGGGGAAATGAGCGGAGGGGGGCTCTTGAGAAATCCTACCAGGGAGGCTCTCTGTGAATCCCGCTCCTACTCCTGTGCTCATGAAGGGTCCACTGGGGCACCCAACCAGAAAGGTGGGGAGAATTTCTTCAAGGGAAGGACATG